GGGGGGGGCTTTCTCCCGCCGGGCCGCCCGCCGGGGAGCCATCGGAGCCACTCGGCAGGGAACGGGATGCTCTCACTCAGCGCACTGTGTGCGCACAACGCAGGTGTTTGCTGCGTGTTTCTTCCCGTTTCAGGAACGATGGAACTCTGAGAAATTCCCGGAAAGATGAGTGTAGACCAGGGGAGGAACACACACACACACACACACACTCCATAACTTCAAGGGACATGAGGTTGACTTACGTTCATTTCGCCTGAGACTTACCCTAACCTAAACCATAACCTAAACCATAACCATTTCTTGTCTAGCCCTAATCTTAAACCAAGTCACCACTAAAATTTTAACGGGTTACATTCTGGGGACTTGCTTTGTGTCCCCATCAGGGCGTCAGGTCCCCATAATGTGCCTGTGTAAACAGATTTCCACCCCCACAACATAAGTAATACCAGGCATACCAGCATAATCTGTATCCTTGCTTCCAGCACTTACCGGGTCCCTACATAGACTTGATGTCTGTAAACTGATTTACTGTGAGCACGACCCTCCAGGAGGACCCAGGCTTATGTGGAGGAATCCTGCAGATTAACTGTAAAACATTTCTCAAGCAAAAGTGTTGAAACACTCTGGTTCCAGCTAGTTGACTGTGAGATTTGCTGCTTTTCAACAATAAATTGAAATGAATTGAAAACAATAGATACTAATCAATCATGAAAATAACTTGGTATTTGAAACCACAGTAGGCCTATGTGTGGAAGACAGAGACATTTATATCAGCATGACTCATTTGAGTACTTCTGTTGTTGTCCATGGCAACAGATACAAGCCGTTGATAAGCGTGGGTACTGGCAGTCCCACCAACGCTTACCACTTACAAATTTACAGCTTCATGCTAACACAACTCAGGACTGGATGCAAGAGCGCAAATTAGAGGCAGGTAAGTGAGGGCACTGAATAGCTAGTTTACTGTAAACAGCAAACGGGAATAGGCAAGGTTAAGTCCAGTTACAGGCAATAGTCAGCAACAAACAAGTTTTGTAACTGGGCGAGAGTCCAAAGGAAGCAGGCAAAGGCAGAATCCAGATGACCAGACATCACTCAAAACACATGGGGTGAAAGCAAAGGCAACATGGCACAACACATAGTCCTGGAGTGAGGGCAAACAGGCTCATATACAGTATATAGACTACTGAGGATAATAATTGAAGGAGGTAGGTAGAGCTGAAGGGAGGGGCTGGGTCAGGTGACAGGAGGACTGGAAACCACAGGTAACTCCAGGGCAGGAGGGAGTGGCTGCATCTGAAACATCGAAAGATAAGTGAAAAGATAGCAACAAGGAGGAGACGGTAAATATTACAACACATTTGTTATAACAGAACCTTTGTTCTCATATGTGCTTTGTTTCTCAATAAGATGAGGCAGCTGAGGGCAACTGCTAGGCCTTTGCTTGGTGGGCTGAGCAGCATGCTGATGGTGGTAACATGCTGTGTAGCTTGTCACAAAGCACTGCAGCCAGCTATCATAATAACTGGTGATACTGGAGTGAATTCAGCAGACCCAGCAGCACACTGTACGTATTTGGTCAATGCACACCCATATCAATCTCCCTACAAACACACACTCATCTTTACACATGCTTCTTGTCGACTTTTATTTTTGTTTTTCACTGAGCTGGCATGCAATCCCATGCTCAAAAAAGTTGTTTTTTGTTTTGTTATACTAGGGCCAGGTTGTTGCAATATGAAGATTAAACAAAACTATTTCATTATCAGACTGTCAGCAATCATTTTACTGTCATGATGTCAGTCCCTGTTGTTAGACCCAGCCCATCTTACTTTTCTGACTCCTTCCAAGTGATAAACATCAAAAATGCATCTAAAACCATCTCTTTTTATTTGCTCATTGTTTTATATTGACTTATACAATGGTGTGTTATGTAAATAATGTCTTTTAAGCCGAGAGCTTAATAAAGATTCTTGATTTGAAAATCCCTTTCAATGTGAATTGGTCTTGAGCTGTAGCAGCCAAATAAAAATCCTACTGCGATGTAGGAAATATGGATCACCTCCAGGTTTTTGTATGGGTAATAGTGTAAATGTTTCCCGTCCAAAGGGCGGCTGTGGCTCAGGAGGTAGAGCGGGTCGTCTCCTAACCTGAAGCAGCTCATTTTGTGGCTGCTCCAGTCCATATGTTGAAGCGTGCTTGACACTGAACCCACTGTCACTCCCAGTGATATCACCGGTGTGTGAAAGTGTGAGTGCTTGGGAGTGCAAATGGGTGAATGGGCAAACAGTGTGAAAGCGCTTTGTGTGTGCTGCAGTGTACAGAAAAGTGCTATACAGGTATAAGACCATGTATCTGAGAAGTAACCGTTTCTGTTCAGTTTAATCTAACTTTTTTTGTATAGCACCAAATCACAAGAAAAATCATCTCTGGGCACTTACAAGGTAGGTATTCTAGAAAATATTATATACAGTATTATAGAAAAAAAATCCCACTTGAACAAACAGAGAGAAAAACTCCCTTTAAGAGAAGAAACCTCCGACAGACCCCAGGTTTTGCTGGGCGGCCTTCTGCCACAACTGGCAGAAAAGAAAAGCAACAAGACACAACAAACAATAAAACACTGGACAGGTTGATGTGGCCGGTGACTGTTTATCAGAAATGTAGAGCTCCAGAGCCAGGACATGGTTGATTGTATAACATGAGTTTAGTATTTAATTTCCTTTCATTTGTGCATAATAGCAGCTGAATAAAACTTCAAATTGAATTTGCAGCTGAATCATTTCAATGTGTCTCTTCCTGTACTGTAATCATTAAGTCCGGACCGAAGCTGTGTCTGGTCTGTGTACATTGTCACCACACAGGAAATGAGGATCATATTCATGAAGTATGTTTATGCACTTCAGACAGACAGTCATATTTCACTTTACAGTTGTTTACAGTGGTACGGACCCCACCATGTGGTAGAAAAAAAATATTTAGGTGAAAGTCCATGTGCACAGATTATTAAATTGGATGGGGTGTAGCCTATTAGGCAATGTCATATGGATTTAAAACGGTTTTATTTTGATCTTGGCTGAGATATGTGGATATACTTTAGGTTTTGGTTGTTAATGGTCCAAAGAAGCTTCTAGTACAATATCACACACATGGGTCATACCATTTCCACCCCACAAAGGCAGACAGACTGCAGTGTTCTGACTCATAGGCCGGTTTCCCGTGTCATTTGTACCTGTGTTATTTTATGTGTTAATTGGCCTACTTACCGACTTTCAAGCCCTGCACAATGTACCATGGAAAGTGTTGATCTGGACGAGTCTGCCAAGTGTTATTGTTGTAGTGCCCACAAGTCCAAAGTGGGAACTCAGAAAATTCACAATTAACTAATAATAAACTAATAAACTAGACCCTATCACACCATCCTATGATGTTGGACATCAAAAGGCCTTCGGTGGTGCTAATGGCATTTATTTACAATGGCATCTTTTTTGGTTTGTGTTATTTGGATGTTTGAAGGGAGATACAAAACCAGACCAAGGATTCTTCAGTCCAGGCTTCTCACACAAAAAACGTAGGCTAGGGCTGAGTAGTCAGACTTTATACAGCAATGCATAATAAAGACAGTATGGTAGGTCTCTCTCAATTACTGCTAAACTGGATTCATGAAAACTAATGGCCATATTATGCTGGTTCCAGACCACACAATATTTTACCTGATACGTTGGTCATTATGTCCGATTATGTGATTATAGAGTCATTTTTGCTGTGACCTGGATGAGAGATATGACAGACTACACAGTGGTACCTGACAGATCAGCTGTAGTTCATACTTGTGTGAAGGAGGTACTAGGGACAAGGAGACTATAAATACAGAATAGCATCTGAAGCGCTGTGTTTGGAGACATAAAAAACAAGCCTGTGGACACATCCATGGATTGGTTTGTTGTCACAAAATGACCCTGTGAATGATGATTTCAGATCATCAGTATGTTGTTCACTGTATTGCTGACGCTTTAGAGTTTTAGTTTTATTCAGTATTAAGTTGTTTATTATTGTCTTCCTTTTACTCATTTCCTCGACTTTCAGTAGCTCTGTCCCTGACTCAAATCTCTAACACTAGTATCAGCATATGAAGGACTGTGCTTTGAGTAATTCCAATTTATGCTTCTTTATAGGATGTAGGATGTAGATTTTAAATGCAACATATAATCAAAAAATAAATAACAAATACCAAAGAAAAAAATCATTAAATAATATAATTAATAATATATTATAATTAAAATCTAGCAATAATGTGTGTATTTTTCAGAATAGTCTGTAGTACTTTTAATTTTTGATACTTTAATTATATTTGCATGCTGACCCACATTAACCTGGTGCAACATTTAGGATTTTATTCTGTCTTTCTCAATGCTATCTTTTAAAGAGCAGAGTCAGTACACTTCAGCCCACGATACAAAGCAGAGGCAGCTGTTATGTAACCATTTCAGAGAGCAGTGTTCCTGCTCATACTGACACAAATATGACGTTTTTCAGGCAAAAGCCACTTGAGGGGATGTATCAACCTTAAAGTTGATCCTAATCTTTGGTGAGCTAAAATCAGCAAATCACCATAAATATCATCTTAAGTCGTCTATTTAAAAGCCATCTGGCACATTTCACTGTGCCAAGCTGTCCTCAACAAATAATCAAAGCATGTGGTAGCCTAATACTTCCAGCAGAGCAATCTATTTCTTATAACTACTGTCATGCAATAAGCACATAACACTCCTCATATAGTCACAGTGCATTTTGTTTCACTGCTCTATCTCTGATGTGAATTTTTACGTGGCTCAGTCACATATGGAATCACATACTTATGTTGGTCTCCCTCACCCTGT